AAATATGAAAGTCATAGCTCCACTAGATCAAAAGTTATGGGCAAGGTTAAAGTTTTTGTGACGGACGGACAGACAGACAGACTGACAGACAGACGAATGAGATGCAGAGCGAGTTCGATCGTCGACTATAGTCTATTACCGGAAGATGAGTTGCTTTCGTTTCTGATCAAACGTGCATTAGTCAAACCGTAGTTCCTGTCATGGCGGTTGTAACAAATTTTTAACGTTTTTCAATATCATCCAAGGAAATCATGTCATTTACGCACAGGAATTTGCAATGCTCCAAGCCAAGACTGTTAGTTTGGCCTTGATTCAGTCCAGAGATTCGGTGCCAAAAATAACCAGTTACATGCAGGATGTGTATCCAAACTTTGAAATTCCAGAAAACATAGACGATTTCTCTGCTCACTTCCGAATAAGTAGGAACTTGTTTGAAATAGTCTTACAGGAGGTTTACCAGACTTTAAAGTTGGGAGGTACTGGAAGGTATGATCCAAAGGCATACTTATCTGACAAGACTGAAGTGCTAGGACAGAGAGTTGCTTTTATATACAGAACGAAATGCCTTTGAAACTGAATTATGATCTTGGAAAAATTACAGAAACAACTAACTTTCTAAACTTATCTAAAAGAACGAGTCACTAAACCTAATCCATCGGATGGGATGCAAGGACTAAGACGTTTGGATGAAATCTCCTGGGCAGATGCTAAACTAACCCTAATCAGTTGAATAATGTGCGAGGACTTACCCGAATTTCTTGGATGGATGCGAGACTAACCCTAATCAGTTGTATACTAGTTCAAGGACTAACCCTAATCTCTCAGGTGGGTGCAAGAGTGAAGACTAACCCAAATATTAGTTGAAGAGTGTGCAGATTTAATCCATTTCAGTTGAGTGATGTAGTTGTTATAACATAGTCCAATTAGCGCAAGGATCTTGCGGAATTGGGGGACTGGTTAAGTAAAGACCATTGTAAACCTACCCAGAGTAGCTATTTTTACCCACTTTTTGTATTATCTGCATTTTGTGGCCAAAAGACCGAACGGCACAAAATGGTAAATAACATATTTTTTTGAAATACAGTAACACTAAATAAATGATATAACTTTAAGACCAAATATTATTACTTCATGTATCGGCAATTTTACATTAGTTTCTATGCAAAACTTATAATATTCGAAGTAATCGTTTTTTTGCCATATTTTTGTTATATCCATCATCAGTGTGACTGTATCAACGATCAAGAAATTATGTGCTCACAATATTGCCCCATTCCTGCGTATGGCCACAAAATGCAAGTAAAGCAGAAAGTAGGTAAAAATAGCTATTTTGGGTAGGTTAGATATAATATTAAATATATATATGTAGATATAGTCTTTCGGCTGGACCAGTGTTATACACCATAGAAGTTTTACAATTTTTTTTTCTAACATGCAGTAAAGAAATGACGAAGTTGATCATCATTCAGATGTTAAAGTGGATGCATGTTTTTATTTCAGATATGAAGCAATAACTCAAGATAGGCAACTTTTGTTGACTTTGTGGTACCTTGCCAACTTGTCATCAATGAGGGAAGTTGCTCACATCTTTGGACTTTCCAAGTCAACAGTCCATGAAACTATATTCAGGGTGATCAGTGCAATAATAGGGCATCTTAGTGTAAGGGTAAGTACCTTGAAAGATACTGTCAGTGTGGTTTCATCAATATTCGTTGTGCACCAATTTTCCAGGATTTCGTTGTTGAGCAGATTGTTCAATTGAATTAAGAAATATGTTATTGATTTGCATAGGCAATGTCTTGGTCCACGAAATTACGTATCCTCTAAAACGTCTAAAGCAAAATCCACAAAAATTGATGCCAACGAAAATTGATGAAACCACAGTACTATGAATTTTAGTGCAAATCGCATCTCACTTCAGTCTGTTGTAATTTTATGAACATGTATTGATCGTTTATAGATACAATGTATAAGGATGTGAAGTTTTTTTTGGTATCTATCTTCATCTCTTCATATACATTTGAAAATGAGAAGACATGCATGCACTTTATTCACTTTAAGTTACTAGGAACGATACATTCATCTCGTCATCTTTTCAGGTTATAGTTTGGCCTTCTGCGAACAGACAGCGGGACATTGCAAATGATGTACAGCAGGTGTGTAGACTACCTGGTATAATTGGGTTACCCATGTACGTCTCTCTTCTGCTCTGAAAGGTGATCGGGATTATTACAACAGGAAGGGTTACCTATCATTACAACTACAGGTGAATACTTTTTTAAAAAAAAATTAAAATAATGATTAAATTAATTTCAATTATTGAAGGGTAATATTTAATAAAATTTCTCAGTTTATGAATGGATCTCCCAGTGTCTTTACCAGCATTTCAGTTTTAAATCTTGGTTTTAGGCTGTGGTTGACCATGAAATGAGATTTACAAACATATATACCGGGTGGCCAGGCTGCGTCCATGATGCTCGAGTCCTGCGCAATTCATCTTTATATAGAGCAGCCGAAGCAGGGGAATCTGTCCTTCAGGGTCACCATATTTTAGCGGACAGTGCTTATCCTCTTAGAAACTGGCTTATTGTTCCATTCAAAAATTTTGGTAACTTGGCAGCAAGTAAGATTTAATAAACGACTATCATTAGTGCGCCAGACTGTTGAGAGGGCATTTGGTCATATGAAAGGAAGATTTAGAAGGATCCAGGAAATTCCACTTCACAACATCGAAAATATCTGCAATGTAATTCATGCTGTATGCATTTTACACAACCTGTGCATAGATAATGCAGATAATATTGATGATTACAAACATCAAGATCCAGATGACGACCCAAATCAAAATATGAACATCTATCAGAATGGACAGGAGGGCATAATCAGACGTTTACAGCTTGTGAACATTCCATAGTTTGAATTTCATAATCAGACGTTTACACCTTGTGAACATTCCATAGTTCAAATTTCATAATCAGACGTTTATACCTTGTGAACATTCCATAGTTCAAATTTCATAATCAGACGTTTATACCTTGTGAACATTCCGTAGTTTAAATTTCATAATCAGACGTTTGCAGCTTGTGAACATTCCACAGTTCAAATTTCATAATCAAATGCTTATTTCATTTTAAATTTCAATTACACTGCAACTACAAATGTGTATATATATGCTACATTTGTATGCTCTGATGACATGGTCAGTTTAATATTATTTATATTTATGAATAACCTATATTAAAATATAGTCTGTGCTTTTTTCCAACAGTGGAGTTTTTAATTAAAACCGGAGAAAAAGATCATGAAATGGTTATTAATTTTTTCAACACAATTTAAACAATGAAGTGTGCGGAACTGTGTATAGAAGTAAACTTTCCAAATGTTCTTTTTCTTCTCAGGGGGTTATTATTTGACCAATAACCATACTTATGAACCATGAAATAAATGTATTTAACACAGGTGTTGAAAGTCTTCAAGATAATCAATATCAATACAAATGCTGGTTTAAAAACTTAATTTCTTCAATATTATACACACATCTACATTTGGATTTGCACTGGAGCATATGTATCAGCATAATGTTTAACAACCTCTTTCATGTTCAAGTTCATACATTTGTTTTTAATTTTTAATCAACTATGGCTGTCTTTTCCCGTGTAGTGAAAAAACTGCAGACATAATCGCCATTATTTTGCATTTTAGTACCACAGTTAAACCTTGTGATCTAGAACTCAATGGGACTGAAAAAATAGAGATATCTGAAGATTCAATATATCAACGGTAAAATACTCAGAGATTACGAGGTTTTGACTTCCAAATCACTTTGAAATATCCATGCCATTTGAGATATCAGTGTTGGAGATACTGAAGTTCAACTGTATATACAAGTACTCACATATACACATGTATATTAGTCAAGTACCGAGATGTTGTCATTATCAAGTCATCACAGTTTTGAATCATTTTCCTGAAATTATTAAAATATTAGCTTGCCAAAAAATGTATTGTACCAACATTTATAATATACCAAATGAATAAATAAATATTAAAATGAATGAATCATTTTAAATACTTTGAAAACCAAGGGGTCTTTTTTTAGCTCTATTGGTCAGAGACCAGAAGAACTTATGCGATAGTAAGGTGTCCGTCGCCCGTCCGTCTAGCTGTCTGTCTGTCCGTCTGTCTGTAAACAATTTTTCAAAACGCTACTCCTCCTACAGTTTTGGTCTGATTTTAATATAACTCGGCACACAAGTAGACTGCACAAAGATACATAAAATAGTGCATCAAATTTTGATTCCGATGAATGGTTTTGCCATGGTTACTAAAAATAGAATTTTCTGTGAAATTCCTTTAAAACGCTACTCCTCCTACAGTTTTGGTCTGATTCCAATATAATGTGGCACACAAGTAGTCTACACTAAGATACAAAGAACAGTGCATCGGATTTTGATTTCGATGAATGGTGTTGCCATGGTTACTAAAAATAGAATTTTCTGTGAAATTCCTTTTAAACGCTACTCCTCTTACAGATTTGGTCTGATTTCTATATAATTTGGCACACAAGTAGACTACACTAAGATATATAAAATAAAGCATTGGTTTTTGATTTTGATGAACAGTGTTGCCATTGTTACTAAAAATAGAAATGTCTGTGAAATTTCCTTAAAACGCTACTCCTACAGTTTTGGTCTGAGGGCAATGGCTTCTTTTCTCATCCTTTGTTATTAGTACAAACCAGTAGAGCTACAGTCTCGACAGAGACTTCTGGCTACTGTAAACTCTGAAGCTTCTTGGCTTAAGCCAAAATGCGTCACAAGATGCTAGCTGGTGAGGATTTTTAACAGACGAACGAACCAATATTTTTTTACCCTCCTTTTATACATTCTGGAACAAAAGTAAAACAAAAATTTTAACTTATTTATTTGTGTTTAGAAACTTGTTCCTCAAGACTGTCTATTCCAAATTTAAATAAAAGTATTTATACATTTAATAGCATATAATTCACATACTTCCTCCTGAGAGAAGGATTAAAATGGAAAACTTTGGCCAAATGAGAAAATTAATGTTACATGTCAGACATAGGTACAATGATACCCATAATTACCTTGTAATTTGACAAGAAAATAAAGAAAAAAATTGTCATAATAGTTATTAACATTTGAATTTGATATATCCATTAGATTTTGCTTCATTGTTTGTCATGTTTTGACATTTTGTACTCCATTTCTCTTTCATATAAATCTAACATTCGGTCCATACGTTGCATTTATTCCCCGTGGAATTCTTGAATTTTTTCTTGGAATTCTGTGTGTTGATTTTTCAGAACATCCATCAACTCTTGGGATTTTCTCTTCACAGGTCTTTGAATTCTTTCCTTCCCTTTTTCAGAACATTTTTTTTTCATTGATGCATTTTGAATTTTCACCTTCTTTCAGTGTATCAACTATGAAAGCTGGTTCTGTGCTGGCCTTTGTGCCAAACATGACATCGAATGCCTCCTTCTGTCTGAAATGTTTCCTTTCTGTGCCTGTCCCACTGTCTCTTACCTCTTTCCATCTCTTCTTTAAACTATTATATTTATTAGCGGCCTGGGTTGGTGTTATGTGACATTCTAATTGTCTATTTATTTCAGTGCTTATGTCCATCCATAACTGGTTGTGATTTTTGGATTTTAAGAATTTGTTGTGCATTTCATGATCATGCCTTAGTGAAACGAGCACATCCTCTTCGTTTTCTTTCCAAGTGTGGACAGAGGACTGAGAGGTACCTTCAGGCTCCTGTGACGTTGATGTGCTACATGTAGTCTGACTAGTAGTGATGGCCATGGATGGAGAAGTGTTGCGACACTGTATTGACTGTAATACTCTTCTCTGTGAGGGCAAAGGGGTATCCTGCTCTGAACAGAAGGCATCAGATGAGGTAGTAGATTGCTTTGGTACTGCACTTAAATTTCTTAGTGACGAAGAATTAGTCTGGGAAGAGGTAGTCATGGAGGGTTGACTTGATGATTTACTTTGTACACTATTCAACAAACTTTTGGTAATCATGTCTTTAACTGATGGATCTGCTACAAAAATCATATAGAAAATTCAGTATTCAGCATCATTTACTACTTAACCCACTATACAATCTAAGCAGCAGTTGCTAAATATTCTATTTAAGATGCACTTAATTATTGAGAAGTTTCACTACGTTCACAATGACGTCACATTTATAGTTGACAGTGCATCTTTGAGGAACATTAATGAAAGAAACATTGATTACATGTATGCAGAACTTTGGATCAGACAATGAAAAATTGGGTTGAGTTCCAAGGCCCTAAGATAGATCACATTACTGTAAATCACTTTTTAGTTCTGAGAACTTTATTTTTGTGTAATTACACAGGAAAATTTGCTCGTAAAAAGATAATTCTCACATACATGTAATTAGTATTCCTAAAGATCATACAGATTAGTAACCAGTCCACGATTTGAAAATATTGTCTAGTAAATATCTTTTTAATGAAAATAAGGTATCAAATAAATTAAGTGAACTAGAGTAAAATTTTAGTGATTTAGAAGGGGCTTTGTAGTTTAGTTCCCTCTATCTCTTTTTAATACCTAAAATTTTAAAATACTTCCTTGTAATATAATCTATTAGTCATATATCTGTTTGCAATGTATGAGACATGAATATTAAGAAAGAAATCACAGACCCCGTTAAACAATTAAACCCCCCAAAATATAAAAGAATTAATATTTATTCTTTTGCTGAGATCTTCAATGACAAGGTATATACAGTCCAACCTCGTTATCTCGAACTTGAAGGGACCGAGAAAATACTTCAAGATATCCAAGGATTTGAGATACATGTATCCAAGGTAAAATACCCAAGGAATAAGTAGTTGGGACTTTAAAATTACTTTGACAATTCCATGGTTTTTGAAATATCTGAAGAGTGATACCTAAGTTCAACTGTACATGTATGGTAATAGGTAATTAAAGTTGAACTTCGGTATTTCGAACATAGATATCTCGAATACCATGGATATGTCAAAGTGACTGACACGCAACTTCTATCTGTATTTACCTGTTTGCTTTGACTGCAGAATATTTATAACATCTCGCGGAACTGTCAACTTGTATTTTTGTCCATCCTTCTTCTCGATAACAATTGATTTCATCTGCAAAATGACAAAATGTTTATAAAGCTTTTAAAATCATACAAATCCAAGCAAGTGTCTAATTTGTCCTTATTTTCTTACAGTTTTAAATAAAAAGAAAGAAAGACATATACAGTACAGGCCACGAGTTTTCCGCAAAAAACACGGGGCCCCGTGGACCGCAAGTCCACGCTTTAGCGTGGAGCTCGAACCTTGTCGGCGTCTTTGAAGTCGGCGTTTCTGTGCACCGTGTAACACGGTGTGTCACAGTTCTGCTGATAAATATTTTAAACATTTTCATTGCCCTTATCTAATTAAATTAAATCAACTTTCTTTTGAAATATTTATTGTACTTTTCCATTAATTAATATTGGTAACATATCGCATACAGATTTTTAAACTTATAAGATGCCTTAAATTTAATAACAACGTACTCGTGTCCAGCAAAAAAAAAATTGTACAATTACGTTTCAAGTTAAATCCTAATTATATTAGTCATAAAAAGTTCAATAGACTATTATTATATAACACTAAGAGGAAACACACTTTCATAAATGATTTACTTGATTGTCTCTACTTTCGATTTTGATTTTAATCGTGTTCAATTAAATTGTTGATACAAGATTGTTTTTCCCTACGTATGCATTCATACGTACAGTATATATCAGATGCGTGATTATACTAAGTGAATTAATATTTTGTAAGAATTTAAAATATAAATACGAATCAGACTCGCACATTAATTCTGCTCTTTGATAATTGTACAGATACTCGGCGATTCATTGGACAGGTTCAGATAAGGATTATTGCCGTGACTAACATTGAAAATCTGTAATTATGTAAAATATGGAGATAAATATTAAATGCGGTAAACTCGAACATCAGCATCTACTGAACAGACAGAGATGATAATCTGATAAATTTCTTCATTTAAAAAAGTGATCAACTTACACGCTGAATCCAAAAATCACCAGCCGAATTTTTGGCAAATGAAATGCACTAATTTCTGTACGAATATTACTTCATTCTGAAATATGTCGATTGAAAAATGAAACAAAAAAAAAAAAATTTGAGAAAACATAGATATAGAGCGATTTTTAAAAATGCCCCCCCCCCTTCTAGAAAGCGATACGAATCTGCTGGTTAAAACTTGTCCAGAAGTGTGCAAATTTATGTTAAATTTTTTTAAATCTTAATCTACGAGATACATGCTTATTTGTGTCTGAAATAGGATAAATAAATTAACAAAGATCATGTAAGTTTATAATCATTGTTGTAGTGAAACCTGGAACATGATTTTCGCATGTTATCAGTTGAGTGTGTTATACACTTGCCGTGGTCAGAGCTAAAGAAGTTGGAAAGGTGTGATAAACATACGGCGCCCCTGGCCCACCGGCAGAGACCCAATATCTTTTTTAAACAGGTGTGAACTCGGAACTGACCATCAGATTGTTTCAAATCACAAGAGAAATTCTTTCCGCGTAAACAGACTTTCAAGGTCACCTAGCGTCATAGGACAGGTGATGCACGAGGATTTTGTGCGTACAGCATATACAGAGAACGAATTTAATTGTAGTAAGAGGTTGAATTTGAACAAAATTTGTGGCAATTAAATAGAATTATAGAATGATTAATTGTGACCTCCGTAACTTAAATAAAACGAAGAATCAACAACAAAAAAATAATAAAATTACAGACTATGTTAGAAGGGGGTTGTATGAGTCTCTCTCTCTCTCTCTCTCTCTCTCTTATTAGAATAAAGATTTTTTTTTTTAATAATTACTTACACTGAAAGGATTTTAAAAACATAACGTGGTAGTGAACACTACTCTATGAAAATAATTTTTGCTGTTACGAGAAATACGCTTTGAAATTATTGCATTAATTTCGTGTTTCTGCTGACGATTTTCGCATCCACATTCAGAATAATATTCTAAGATGAATAAAATACATGTATTTTAATAAGGAATATACATAATAATGCTTGGATCGTAAACTATAGTACTGTACATGTTAAAACCATGAACATAAATACAGCTCGGATTTTATACTACATACAGTGTGTGTGACACGAATGCAGCTCGACGCCCTTTCGTCTTCCTTTGTCACATGAACTCATGAGATTAAATTAATATTCATTTAAAATAAAATTCATGATTTTTATTTTGTAACGTGAATGAATAATTTTACTAAAATAAAAATTTCTATACAGTTAATTCAAATGAAAATCATTCATTTTTTTTTTTACCGATATCTCAATATCATGCGTGCCATTCAGAGTCCAATATCTGGTTGAATAAAAACAATTATTATATATTCATAAACCAAAGTTATAGATTATCATCAAAATTTATTACATTTTTATCAGAAACAAACGATTTTGTCTGTAATACTATTTACACGGTGCAGCTTGGAGGAGAATTTTCTGGACACTCGGTGCAACACGGAGGGAAATTTACTGGACACGGTGCGACACCGAGGACATTACCTGAGATTTTTCTATACACGGTGCGGCACGGTGTGCCTACCTGTATATTTCAAATCCACACACACCGTGCTACACCGTGTACACGGTGTAACACAGAGCGTTTCACACGGTGTTTTTTCCACCGAGCGTTGCGGAAAACTCGTGGCCTGTACTGTACTCTAGACTATACTTTAGCTATCAGGTGGTTGTAACATAGAGAGTATTTTATCTTTTACTATGTTTAAGAAGAGCTAAAAGTATTATTTTAAAATTTAAACACTGGAAGCTTGCTAAGATATTGCCATCTTAACAAAACTTAGGTCAGGTCAGTACATGTGACTTAATTAAGTATGTCTTTTTAAACACAAATTTAGAACACTTAATGACATAAAAGTTAAATTTCAATGTTAAAACATTCCCCTAAACTAATACATAAACTTCAATGCACAAGCAGAATCGAAAATATTACACTGTCTGTATTACAAGTTTGTGTGTAGTAAATATTGACAATCTATGTTGCATTAATATTTCAGTTTTGTTGCAAAATAAGGTTTTAACAGATACTATGTAAAAATGAATAGCTATATTTCACCTCCGACATTTTTGGCAGCCATTAAAACCACAGTAAACACGTAGGTCTGCCTTTAGTGGCCAAAATGATGTAACATCCGCTGACTATAGTGAGTTCGATCACGGTTTAGTCGAACCATAGTAACTAAAGTCGATGATCGAATTCGCTCATAATGTCCCCTCGCTTTCGCGAAAGCGGGGGACAAAAATGCCATTAAATGGTTCTGTAAATCATGGCGCATGATATCGTATCAATGTGTTGAAAATCGCTTCTAAAAGACCAGCTTCTTTAAATCACAAACGAATAATCAACAGACATCGGACAACGAAGACGACGATGACGACTTCACAGACGACATACCGCTTTCAGAACTAAGTGAACTTCTGAAAAAAGGGGTTCCGAATTACTGATTGTAGAATACATGAACAAAGACAAAGGAATTATTTCCAGGGAGGAAATTACAGACGAAATTATCGTGGAGACACCGCGAACAAAACAGCTCTAAGTGACGAAGAAAGTGTAGAGATCTCCGAGGGAGACGGTGTCACTGATAAACAGGCCCAGAGTTATGTTAATAAACTTAAAACATGCGCAGAAAAACACCCCAAAGTAAATGACAAAATTTTTGCAAACCTTGAAGAAATTGAACTGTTTATTGACAGTGAATGCCTAAAAAAGAAACAAACAAAACTAACTGATTTTTTTTTAAATTATACCTTCAAGGGCTCTAGTATTCAATGTAAACTGTTCAATAGATAAAAGATTACCAAATTAATTTGTTCGGGTTTGTTCTTCTTAATTTTACATCGGGATTGAAGTTTTAAAAATGGCGACCTCACTTCAGTAGATTTCGCTTATATTGAAGTACGGATATATTGAACTAATTTCCTTGGTCCCCTATACATTCATTTTAAGATTGTATTGATTGCACAAAATCTCATAATTAAAATTTATTGCAAGCTCTCTCTCTCTCTCTGTTAAGTATGTTTTTACAAGAGACACGCTTTCATTGTTTACAAGTCGCAGGTTACTGACAAGACACATACAAATGGCTTCAATTGTCGGGTACCTGAACCATCGTTATAAAAAGAAAGGACAAACGCGATCGAGCGTTTAATATCCTGTATTTAGATAAAATGTGAAGTAAATAAAATCCATTGGAATTATGTGTATGTAATTATTGTACAACGTGAATGTTTACAATTCAGAAATTCGTTATATATTGATGATAGCCTTGGTTAAATTTTGTACAACTAGTTATAAATGAAAAATACTGAAATTGACAGGAAATTTTTTAAAAATAATTAAAATTTCAACGAATATTCGACTGTCGTTCGACTAAAGCCTCCGACTTTTCGACTAAGCTGTCCAAATAAGATTGACATCCCCACCGGACATTCCCCTTGAATGTTATTGTTTTTCGACTGATACATAAAAAGAGCATTGGCGTCGGAAGCAAATTGAAAGTGGGGGGGGGGGGGGGCTAAGTGTAAAAAAAAATATTATACCTTCGTGGGGGGGGGGGGGTTAAGGGTATTTTCGAACTTCAGTATAATTTTTTTTCAAACACCACCACTCTCCCCATTTTAAACCTATGCTAAACCGTATTTGTGGAAAGTGGGGGGGGGGGGCTAAACCTACGTAGATATGTTCAATGTCTGCACTGAGTATATATTTGGAAAAAAAGTAGGGGGCTAAGCCCCCCTTAGCCCCCCCCCCCCCCCCCCGGTTCCGACGCCTATGAAGAGAGAAGGCGTGCAACTCTTGTATCATCATCCGTCTCACCTTGCAGGCATTTTGTGTTATAATTTATGTAAAGCAGAATAAAAATGGGATATGCATACAGCAATTAAGTTGATACATGTTTTCTCTTTCTTTCATGTTTCCTTTTTTATTTTAAGTGTCACCGATTTGTAAATATTTCGATTAAATTACTCGCATCTAGGCAATATTTTGATTTTTTTTTTTGTATCACCTTGTCTCAGAAGTGCCTGGATTTTCGGGCTTCATCGTCCGTGTCGTTCGGAACATTAGCTATGAGAAAGGAAAATCCAGATTTCCTCGTCACATGAAAGGTACGTTTTGAATAACCAGAAAACCTTATATACAGCTGATTCTGACAGATGCAGATTAATATATAATTAAAAACCTTCACTAGCATTGTAAAGAATTCAAAGAAAATGGAGTTATCGGTTTTTCACTTTTGTGACCAGCTGGTGCATACCAACAAAATTTACCATAGATGCCAGTGGTTTATTCGAATTATTTACAAATTATATCAAGGACACTAAAAATGAAATCTAAATATGAAAATGAAGAAGAAGGTGTAACAATTTTAGTTGTAATTTATGTTTCAGGTTATAAGCGTAAATTTACCGAAAGAGAAAAAATGTTTTTATATGAATTGTTACATATGTTATTGACTTGGAAAGAATTATAACTATGAATGATAAAATACACGCCACGATAAACATACTACAATTTAAACACAAAAAAAATCTTGAAACTAAGAATCAACAATAGTGATGCCAGGGCTGTATAATCTATGCATAGAATATGTAAGAATTACAATAACGTTTGAAGTGTTATACTGTATATATGAATAACATTGATTATGAAAGACCACACAACATTTAGTGAGATTTGGCGCGAAAACAATATTTGGTCATGAATAGTACATGCCCGATACCTAGAAATATGTCAAAGATCTTTGGTCAGAAATGAGGAAAAGATTTTAAAAATATATTTACAACATTTATTACATCAATACTTTTTTTTCAATATTTCGTGTCTTGAAATAAAGATTTAAATTAAAAGTCTATGTTATAAGACTGGTTCCTTTATTCAGAATGGCGCTGTGGCCCGTAATGGCGGCACTTCCTTCCCGGCCTCACGTGTGGCGAATTTTAAGGGTAGTGTGAAAAGCCTCGTCTTGTCCTTCCGACTGTTTATAACTAAAGATCTCTACTTCTGCTACATTCTAACTAAGATCTCTGATGTGAGAAGGATATCTGGTATATAAACTGAAGATAACTCGAATCAAAGTAGTGTAATAAACTGGCAAAGGAACAACTCGTCCTTCTCTGGTGCCTGTCATGCCCAAACTGACCAGCACGAGATATTTAAATACCTAACCCGACCAGTGAGTTTAAACCTTCTACATATAGGACTATGGACATACGTTTGGGATAAAAAAAATTATTATTACATCGGTAAAATTTTATTATACACAGTTTGGACATTAAATGCGACAGACAGTTGGAGATCACACAATTACCATGAGTTAATTAGACTGTGAACTTGTTATGTATCTGAATGTATGACAAATGTCTCTCGGCTCTTTGAATATTCATGAGCATGCTCTATATGTACATACATGTACAATGTCTTAAAGAAGACAAGTTTAGAGAAACAAATTCATGAATTAAAAGTAATTTATATGAATAGGTTCGTTTTTACAATATTATTCAAATATAAGATATATGGTCACTGCAATGATCTTGTAAGCAAATATAACTGTAATTACCGATATGTTCAATGCTTAAGGAAAATTTTCATACTAACTGTTAGGTATGGAATCCGGATAGGGCCACGCAGTTCCCAGACGCATTATCGCTCCATAGGGGTTTGAGTCGATATTGCGATGACGATGAAGCGTTTATGCGAAAGCGATGAGCCAATAGTCCGATAGCACGATGACGATGATGCAATGGTACAATGATGCTCGATGGTGAACTGCATGGCCCTATCCGGATGCCATAGTTAAGTGATTATTTACGCACTGTATTATACGGATTTTCCCTTCATAACCCGATTATTACAAGGTTGGTAGAACGTACTTACTCCTCAATGGCACCTGATCCCACCTCTGATGTTTTAAAGGTTCTTGTTTTCTATACTCTCAATTTGTAACTGTTTAAACTGTCAAATAATAATAAATTAGCGAATAATGCTATTAAAAATCGCTGAAATCTTCTGTATCATTCATTATGACACCGTATACATGGAAGGAATAGTTTTAAAACATTACCAGAGCTGAAAAAGTAAACAAATGGATTCACGGAGTGAACAAAAATCTGTATCACCTTACTTGCATGCTTAAGTATGAAAACTTTATCGACATTCTTATAAATAATTAAAGGGTGCGATCTTATTCCATCTGTTTGGATACTTTGAACAATCGAAAACAACGAGTTGACGGTTCTCAGAAGAAGAATTATAAAAACCATCAATATCATTCGTTTCTTCACATTCTTTGCAGCCAGGGATGATTTTATAGTTTTGCAGCGATTGACGACAAAATAGATGTTCAGAACGATGACAAAAAAGAGAAGAAGTCCGTCATCGACGATATATAAGAAATGTAAATGAGTGACAGAAAGAGACCATATAACTTTTACAACACGGAAACTGTAGGCGATACTTAGAATCAAACAGAGACCGGATATGACGCATACTTTACGATTTGTGAGGTAGACACGACTTTTGATTGGGTGAACAAACAAAGCGTACCTAATTGATAGAAGAACCACGGCATTCAAAGAGGAAAACATTTTTGTAGCATATGTCGCAATGTGAAATATGCTTTGAAGCTTGAAAGATTCACAGATATTTTGAGGAATTTCAAGAAATTCATTGAGAAGAAAATTTACTTGATAAAATATATCGGCAACAGCTAAGCTTATAATACTCGTGAAGAATGGTTTCCTAAGCTTAACATTCTGCAAAATGACTACAATGGTTGATAAATTACACAATATTCCAAAGGCGGAGAGGGTCGTGGTAAAGCACTGCAGTATAAGTGAGTTCTCTTCCTCTCTATTGGAAGAGTTTTCCTTTGTGTTGGAAGCCGTGGTGTCGGTAGAAACTTCCTGATCAATAGGCGCACCAGGAGAGATTGAAGAACACATGTTTTGAATGATAGAATCTAGTGAAAAATCACCTTGAGCATTTCGATGTCAAATAAGTGAATGCAATCCAGAATGTTGGAAGAGTTTTTCAGACATTGATCAAGTGTTTCTGTGACGTTGAAATCTTGAGGCGTTTCTCGGAGGTGCTCTGTGGATTCTTTACTATCTATTTGTGACAATAGTGATAAATTAGAGGCAAACACTTCAGAGGCATCGTTTAAACTCTGGGTCGTCGTGGTGGATATCTTGGTTGTTT